CAGAGATAACCATCATAGACACCTGCCTCTGTGCCTTGTATGACAGAGATAACCATCATAGACACCTGCCTCTGTGCCTTGTATGACAGAGATAGGCATCATAGACACCTGCCTCTGTGCCTTGTATGACAGAGATAGCCATCATAGACACCTGCCTCTGTGCCTTGTATGACAGAGATAACCATCATAGACACCTGCCTCTGTGCCTTGTATGACAGAGATAACCATCATAGACACCTGCCTCTGTGCCTTGTATGACAGAGATAGCCATCATAGACACCTGCCTCTGTGCCTTGTATGACAGAGATAGCCATCATAGACACCTGCCTCTGTGCCTTGTATGACAGAGATAGGCATCATAGACACCTGCCTCTGTGCCTTGTATGACAGAGATAGCCATCATAGACACCTGCCTCTGTGCCTTGTATGACAGAGATAACCATCATAGACACCTGCCTCTGTGCCTTGTATGACAGAGATAACCATCATAGACACCTGCCTCTGTGCCTTGTATGACAGAGATAGGCATCATAGACACCTGCCTCTGTGCCTTGTATGACAGAGATAGCCATCATAGACACCTGCCTCTGTGCCTTGTATGACAGAGATAACCATCATAGACACCTGCCTCTGTGCCTTGTATGACAGAGATAACCATCATAGACACCTGCCTCTGTGCCTTGTATGACAGAGATAACCATCATAGACACCTGCCTCTGTGCCTTGTATGACAGAGATAGCCATCATAGACACCTGCCTCTGTGCCTTGTATGACAGAGATAACCATCATAGACACCTGCCTCTGTGCCTTGTATGACAGAGATAACCATCATAGACACCTGCCTCTGTGCCTTGTATGACAGAGATAGCCATCATAGACACCTGCCTCTGTGCCTTGTATGACAGAGATAACCATCATAGACACCTGCCTCTGTGCCTTGTATGACAGAGATAACCATCATAGACACCTGCCTCTGTGCCTTGTATGACAGAGATAACCATCATAGACACCTGCCTCTGTGCCTTGTATGACAGAGATAGCCATCATAGACACCTGCCTCTGTGCCTTGTATGACAGAGATAGCCATCATAGACACCTGCCTCTGTGCCTTGTATGACAGAGATAACCATCATAGACACCTGCCTCTGTGCCTTGTATGACAGAGATAGCCATCATAGACACCTGCCTCTGTGCCTTGTATGACAGAGATAGCCATCATAGACACCTGCCTCTGAGCCTTGTATGACAGAGATAGCCATCATAGACACCTGCCTCTCTGCCTTGTATGACTGAGATAGCCATCATAGACACCTGCCTCTGAGCCTTGTATGACAGAGATAACCATCATAGACACCTGCCTCTGTGCCTTGTATGACAGAGATAGCCATCATAGACACCTACCTCTGTGCCTTGTATGACAGAGATAACCATCATAGACACCTGCCTCTGTGCCTTGTATGACTGAGATAGCCATCATAGACACCTGCCTCTCTGCCTTGTATGACAGAGATAGCCATCACAGACACCTGCCTCTGTGCCTTGTATGACAGAGATAACCATCATAGACACCTGCCTCTGAGCCTTGTATGACAGAGATAGCCATCATAGACACCTGCTGCCTTCTCCAACACCAAGAACACATGAGGCAACACGTGTTTACAACATGTCTCAGTCGGAATGATCGATCTCATACACAGTTTTGTGAACTCTTTGATGTCCTGATGTGGTTATTTTTGCTGGTAATTTTTATTTTTCAAACGAGAAGACTCCTGAGAACTCTGTTAAGACGGCTGGCTGTACATCACAGATGGCGTCGTGACAGGCCTTGTCCCCCCCCCCACAAACCACTTGGGCTGGACGGTAGAGCGACGGTCTGGTTTCATGCAGGTTGGCGTTCAATTCCCGACCGTCCACAAGTGGTTGGGCACCATTCCTTCCCCCCCGTCCCATCCCAAATCATTATCCTGACCCCTTCCAAGTGCTATATAGTCATAATGGCTTCCCGCTTTCCCCTGATAATTCCTTCCTTCCTTGACCCCCCCCCCTGGAAATTATGTTCTTCAAAATGAAATTATGTTATTCTAAAGAAGAACAAAAATTATGTTCTTCTTTTAGGGCCGTGAACAGACCTAAATGACAGGATGCTTACCCAGGCAACTCTCTAAGGGGGCAATAATGCTCTCTAAGGGGGCAATAATGCTCTCTAAGGGGGCAATAATGCTCTCTAAGGGGGCAATAATGCTCTCTAAGGGGGCAATAATGACCCCAGAGTAATAAAACATAACGGTCATTATATTATAAAGGTCAGGGGGAGGGGGGGGGTGACATCAACCAGTGTGCAGGCGATGAGTCACAATAACGTGGCTGAAGTATGTTGACCAGACCACACACTAGAAATTGAAGGGACGACGACGTACAATCGACTTGAGAATGGTCCTGGACGGACCGAAACGTCGTCGTCCCTTCACCTTCTAGTGTGTGGTCTGGTCAACATACTTCAGCCACGTTATTGTGACTCCTCGCGTGCACAGGGGCCGCTGGTGACCTCAAGGGGACCTGCCATATGAAGGCTCTGGCACATATCTACAGGTTAAATATTGTGAAGAGAACCCACTTGAATAGGGATTGTAACACTAAATTAATGTTAATATTATTATAAGATCTCTTAGATTGCTTAAGTTTCCTTAAGAATGTCATTGCCATTCATAATGTACACTTGTCTTCGTTAAACAAGAGAGAGAGAGAGAGAGAGAGAGAGAGAGAGAGAGAGAGAGAGAGAGAGAGAGAGAGAGAGAGAGAGAGAGAGAGAGAGACAGAGAGAGAGAGAGAGAGAGAGAGAGAGAGAGAGAGAGAGAGAGAGAGAGAGAGAGAGAGAGACAGAGAGAGAGAGAGAGAGAGAGAGAGAGAGAGAGAGAGAGAGAGAGAGAGAGAGAGAGAGAGAGAGAGAGAGAGAGAGAGAGAGAGAGAGAGAGAGAGAGAGAGAGAGAGAGAGAGAGAGAGAGAGAGAGAGAGAGAGAGAGAGAGAGAGAGAGAGAGAGAGAGAGAGAGAGAGAGAGAGAGAGAGAGAGAGAGAGAGAGAGAGAGAGAGAGAGAGAGAGAGAGAGAGAGAGAGAGAGAGAGAGAGAGAGAGAGAGAGAGAGAGAGAGAGAGAAAGTAAATCAGCACAAATTAAGTAACAATCGTTAAACTCACGACAGGAGTCGCTGTGGTCCAGAAGTAACAGACTTCTCTCAGCGTCTCACGAGGAATTTCAACTAGGTTCGAACCCTGCCCAGGAAGTATTGCTAATCCCTATATAACTATTCGCTCTTATACTCAAAATTCCAGGAAGACACTCTGGCATCTAACTGTTGACATCTACACTAACCGCTATCATCCGCAAATAGCTTTTCAAGACAGCTCTATGTAAACACAGCAACCTCTGGAAGTTATGAGGCAGAAGACTTTGTATTCCTCCAAGAGTTCAAAACTGAATCTCACGTGTTGTTGACTTCCCGAAGCCTCCAGCGCCATCAGCCAGTCTTTTCCAGTCTTCGAGAGGAAGCTTGAGACACGTCGTCCTCGAAGCCTTTTTTTATTTTTATTATTACATAATAGATTAGAAAATACGAGAGAGCATGAAGGAGCATCTTGAAGAGGGACCATCTTCCAGGAACACAGCTGTCGTCAAGCACAAAGTCGTTATAATATGTCACAGCGACAGGTGTGTACGTGGTCACAGCGGCAGGTGTGTTTACGTGGTCACAGCGGCAGGTGTGTTTACGTGGTCACAGCAACAGGTGTGTACGAGGTCACAGCGACAGGTGTGTACGTGGTCACAGTGGCAGGTGTGTTTACGTGGTCACAGCAACAGGTGTGTACGAGGTCACAGCGGCAGGTGTGTTTACGTGGTCACAGCAACAGGTGTGTACGAGGTCACAGCAGCAGGTGTGTTTACGTGGTCACAGCAACAGGTGTGTACGAGGTCACAGCAGCAGGTGTGTTTACGTGGTCACAGCGACAGGTGTGTACGAGGTCACAGCAGCAGGTGTGTTTACGTGGTCACAGCAACAGGTGTGTATACCACCAGCCACCACCTGAGGGGTCGTCGAGCCCTCAGACATCCCACAGGTAGGATGCCGCGACCCAACAGCTGGAGCTCACCCCATCAATCCATTCACGACCCATCAATCCATCCACCACCCCATCAATCCATCCGCTACCAAATCAATCCATCCACCACCCCATCAATCCATCCACCACCCCATCAATCCATCCACCACCCCATCAATCCATCCACCACCCCATCAATCCATCCACCACCCCATCAATCCATCCACCACCCCATCAATCCATCCACCACCCCATCAATCCATCCACCACCCCATCAATCCATCCGCCACCCCATCAATCCATCCACCACCCCATCAATCCATCCACCACCCCATCAATCCATCCACCACCCCATCAATCCATCCACCACCCCATCAATCCATCCACCACCCCATCAATCCATCCGCCACCCCATCAATCCATCCACCACCCCATCAATCCATCCACCACCCTCTTCACCCATTTCTCAACCCATCCCCTAGTTCCACCCATCCACTCAATCACAAATCTAGTAAATCCATCATCAGTCGAACCATCCAACAGACCATCCATTCCCTATTCTATCCACCCAGACGACATTCCATGAAACCATCCATTCCCTATTCTATCCGACAGTCTCTGAATTATCTCATCCACATTCCCAGCCGTCCCACCAGCCAGCAGGCCATCCGATCATCCATCCAGTCAGAAGACCATCCAGTCAGCCATCCGCCTAGCCGGGAGGCCATCCAACCATCCACCCAGGAATCCATTTATCCATGATTGAGGTGCACAATAGAGAAGGCAGGGGGATGGAGGGATAGGGGGATGGAAGCACAACGTTCGGTATTATCGGACCCCACCAGTGGTTCCAGGGATAGGGGCGGATGGGAGGGTGGAGGAGGGTATAGGATGGAAAGGGAGAAGGATGGAATATGCGAAAGAGAGAATGGAAAAGGAAGAATATAAGATGAATGGGAGCACAGGGGCGGAGGAGGAGGAGAGGGACAGAATCAGAGAGGCAACAGAAGTTGTCTACAGAAAGATTGAAGAACAGGTGAATGGAACAGAAGAAAAAAAAGAGACTTAATGGGAGGCACTCCCTCCCACTATGTAAGGAGAGGCAGAGGGAGGGAGTGCCTGAACTATGTAAGGAGAGTCAGAGGGAGGGAGTGCCTGGACTATGTAAGGAGAGTCAGACGGAGGGAGTGCCTGAACTATGTAAGGAGAGTCAGTGGGAGAGAGTGCCTGGACTATGTAAGGAGAGTCAGAGGGAGGGAGTGCCTGGACTATGTAAGGAGAGTCAGAGGGAGGGAGTGCCTGGACTATGTAAGGAGAGTCAGAGGGAGGGAGTGCCTGGACTATGTAAGGAGAGTCAGTGGGAGAGAGTGCCGGGATTATATAAGGAGAGGCAGTGGGAGGGAGTGCCTGGACTATGTAAGGAGAAGCAGCTACACACCAAAGGATATAGAGAGACAATAGACCTTTGATGGGTCCCACCAGGTAACCAATCATCGGAACCTCCTTCAAGGATGGACCATGACTGCTCCTCCACGATTGATGGTCTCTGCAACACCACGTCAACTGCAGACGTTGTCCTGAGCGGTGAATGGGCCGGCAGTGCCAGGTCACCCACACAAAGGTACTGCTTACTAACACCACTGTCCACACAGGTGGTTCTGTGGTGTACTGCGTGAGTGTGGGTGGTCTTGAAGGGGGGTGGAGCGGGCTCCGTTCCAGTCCCGGGTCAGAGGTCACAGGTCATGTTGACCGAGGTCACATTGCAGCTGAGCATCCCGGAAAATGAGGGGAGTCGATCGAGGAATCGGAATGAAAAGGATAAAAAGAGAGGAAGAGACAGGAAAGAATGTGGGAAGGAAGGAATAAGAAGAGATTGGAAATAAATTCCGTGAAGATTGGGATGATTAAAATACACTAAGACCCAATCAATACAAGACATTCAACAGATTGAGTTACTGAAACAAACTCATATCCAACACATTCACGTAATACTCAGCATCCGGCGCTCAATCCTAACTTACTCACCAACAACAGGAAATTACATAAAACCTAATTGGAATACCCGGCGGTACCCGGGTCCACCTCGAAACATAGCTCCATTTATAAGTTCTGGGAGCCCCTAGAATGCTGAACTGGCTTCATAATATGCCCTTGACATGAATGAACAGAAAGTAAAACTCTGCGGACTCAGCTGCCACATTTCACGCCCATTGACTTTGTGTAGGTAGCCATGACAGCCGACCACACTTAAATGGAGTTAATGGGGCCTATACCCCGACTAGCCTGTGACAGTCCCCTGCAAGCCACCAGTCACTCTGCAAAAGCTGAGCGAAACTAGCCCAAAGCATCTGGACTCGAACCTTGGCCCGACGAACAGACAACGTAAGAAATAAGAAATTCTTAACAGATGAATCACTGATCTCTGTTAATTCAACATTAAACAACACAGGAGCAACAGTAACCAACAGACAAGAGCAACAATGAACAACAGACAGGAACAACAGTGAACAACAGACAGGAACAACAGTGAACAACACACAGGAACAACAGTGAACAACAGTGAACAACACACAGGAACAACAGTGAACAACAGTGAACAACAGACAGGAACAACAGTAACCAACAGACAAGAGCAACAATGAACAACAGACAGGAGCAACAGTGAACAACAGACAGGAACAACAGTGAACAACAGACAGGAACAACAGTGAACAACACACAGGAACAACAGTGAACAACACACAGGAACAACAGTGAACAACAGTGAACAACAGACAGGAACAACAGTGAACAACAGACAGGAACAACAGTGAACAACAGACATGAACAACAGTGAACAACAGACAGGAGCAACAGTGAACAACAGACAGGAACAACAGTGAACAACAGACAGGAACAACGGTGAACAACTCACAGGAACAACAGTGAACAACAGACAGGAACAACAGTGAACAACACACAGGAACAACAGTGAACAACAGACAGGAACAACAGTGAACAACAGACAGGAACAACAGTGAACAACAGACATGAACAACAGTGAACAACAGACAGGAGCAACAGTGAACAACAGACAGGAACAACAGTGAACAACAGACAGGAACAACGGTGAACAACTCACAGGAACAACAGTGAACAACAGACAGGAACAACAGTGAACAACACACAGGAACAACAGTGAACAACAGACAGGAACAACAGTGAACAACACACATGAACAACAGTGAACAACACACATGAACAACAGTGAACAACAGACAGGAACAACAGTGAACAACAGACAGGAACAACAGTGAACAACAGACAGGAACAACAGTGAACAACAGACAGGAACAACAGTGAACAACAGACAGGAGCAACAGTGAACAACAGACAGGAACAACAGTGAACAACAGACAGGAACAACGGTGAACAACTCACAGGAACAACAGTGAACAACAGACAGGAACAACAGTGAACAACACACAGGAACAACAGTGAACAACAGACATGAACAACAGTGAACAACACACATGAACAACAGTGAACAACACACATGAACAACAGTGAACAACAGACAGGAACAACAGTGAACAACAGACAGGAACAACAGTGAACAACAGACAGGAACAACAGTGAACAACAGACAGGAACAACAGTGAACAACAGACAGGAACAACAGTGAACAACAGACAGGAACAACAGTGAACAACATACATGAACAACAGACAGGAACAACAGACAGGAACAACAGTGAACAACAGACAGGAACAACAGTGAACAACAGCGTACAGCTGCAGAAAGATGATGACTGTTAGGTCCACGCAACAAGACAATTAAGACCCGCCTACTGGCTATCAGACGCTAGTTAAGATGCTGTCAGGGTCGGCCATATATGTGTTAATAGCTGTCTTAGTCGCTGTCAGGAGCTGTCTCGCGGCTGTTAATGGTCGTCTGGAATTGGCGTCTGGGGGGGAGGGGCCGGGGGGGCTGTTAACCCCTGTCAGGAACAACAGAGAGGACTGTTGACAGGACTGTTGTTCACTGTTGTTCAGTGGCTGTCAACGATTGTCTGAAGTAGTTCTGGGGAGGTGGTTGATGATTGATTGTCTTGGGATTACCCATATGTCCATTCCCTCCATCTTATCACCCCCCTCTTCCCTTCCTCAACATAACGCCTTCCACATATGTATTTAAGATAAATGTGCGCCTTGTGTATTCAATTTTTACCTATTTACCTTACTTGTTACCTTACTTACTTACTTACCTTACTTACATTTAAGGTAAGGTATTTACCAAAGGAAGAATTGAAATAGGAATTTCCTTAAGTACTTTCGTATTTAATCTTCAGAAGGGTGAAGCTGTATTTTATATATATATATATGCGAACAAGCCTGAATGGTCCCCAGAACTATATGCAACTGAAAACTCACACTCCAGAAGTGACTCGAACCCATACTGCCAGGAGCAACGCAACTGGTATGTCCAGGATGCCTTAATCCGCTTGACCATCACGACCAAACAATAAGGAAGTGATAGCCGAAGCTATTTGAACCACTTTCTCGCCGGCACTCGGATGGTAATCTTGGGCATAGCATTTTATCAAATCACCTCATTTTTTGGAAGCACACGTGAGGAACACGTGGTGGTGTCGTTTACCAACGTCCCGGTTGACACCACCGGGTGAGTGGTGTCAACCGGTTATTTAGGTTATTGAGGTAAGTGGTTACTTAGGTCTCCACTTTTGTGGAGACTTAAATAACCTAAACGCGGTTGATGAACCATTCCCGCCACTGCTAGACCAAGAGACTGACGTGAGTGTGCTGGTACCAAGATGAAGGGCAGGTTCTCCCGTCCTGTGCAAGTGTTGGGAGTTAAAAGGACTGTACACACACACACACACACACACACACACACACACACACACACACACACCAAGCCAGGCACGGATTACTCTGAGCCTTTCTCAACAAGGTTGCATTTAAGTGCCAAGAACTGGCTTAGCTTACGGTTGGTGTGTGTGTGTGTGTGTGTGTGTGAGTGTGTGTGTGTGTGTGTGTGTGTGTGTGTGTGTGTGTGTGTGTGTGTGTGTGTGTGTGTGTGCACGCGCGCGCGTGGAGAGGAAATTCATTCTTCAGAACGTAATGGTAAAAAGCAGATCTGTCAGCCGGATTGCTTCATGCCAGGTGAAATAGACTGGCAAAAGTTTGCAGTATGCAAGTAACTTGACCAGTTCACTCGGGGGTCTATAGGCAGTTATGATGCCTTTAACACTGAATCGATATTAAAACTATAACATGATTTCTATTTCCATGAAAACTCCATGAATGAAACTCCATGAAAACTATTTCACGGAGAAAAATCTGAGAGTATCCCCATCCATTTCGGTTAGAAAATGGAATTTATAGAAATATTTTTTCGATGGACTACAAAAGTAATCTGTTATGCGGAATCGCAAGAAAAAACGGTGACGAGCTATCTCTAATCTAAAGCGCGAAAGTGTTAAACAAGATATGATGGTGAAGAGTTCGTGCGGGTCTTCCGGTAATCTGTTCTCAGTGAAGAAGTCTTATGTCCATGAAATTCCTAATGAGTAATTTGGAATGTGTATACACACCGCAGAGGAGATTACGAGTGAATGATGGGCGCCGACACGCAAGTGGGATTACCTGGGAAACTTCCCAACACCGATGTATTCTTGTTGGGGGAGTTTGACCCAGTCATCAATCTTCAGGGGGACTAGCGACTACGTGGTCCTCATCAGCAGTCATCAACCAAGAACCACGAGGTCCTTAGTAGTTATCAACCAAGAACCACGAGGTCCTCATCAGCAGTCATCAACCAAGAACCACGAGGTCCTTAGTAGTTATCAACCAAGAACCACGTGGTCCTCATCAGCAGTCATCAACCAAGAACCACGAGGTCCTCACCAGTCATCAACCAAGAACCACGAGGTCCTCAGCAGTCATCAACCAACAACCACGAGGTCCTCAGCAGTCATCAACCAACAACCACGAGGTCCTTAGCAGTCATCAACCAACATCCACGAGGTCCTTAGCAGTCATCAACCAAGAACCACGAGGTCCTCAGCAGTCATCAACCAAGAACCACGAGGTCCTTAGCAGTCATCAACCAAGAACCACGAGGTCCTCAGCAGTCATCAACCAAGAACCACGATGTCCTCAGCAGTCATCAACCAACAACCACGAGGTCCTCACCAGTCATCAACCAACAACCACGAGGTTCTCAGCTGTCATCAACCAAGAACCACGAGGTCCTCACCAGTCATCAACCAACAACCACGAGGTCTTCACCAGTCATCAACCAACAAGGAGACCAACAACCAGGTGGTCCTCAGTCGAGTCTCGTACGTTGATTGGGTGATTGGGTGTCAGGCTTTTTCTGTCGAGATACAGAAGGATTGGCTCGAATTCTCAGTGAAAGGTATTGACCTGTATTGCCTCGCTTTTTGTGGTTGGTGGAGAGTTTATACTCGGCTCCCACACCCTCACGGTGGTGGCGAATGGGAACTTATCTCAATATATGAGGTTGTCACCTCACGGATGGTAGATGAGTGAGTGGCAGCGACCTCACGGATGGTAGATGAGTGAGTGGCAGCGACCTCACGGATGGTAGATGAGTGAGTGGCAGCGACCTCACGGATGGTAGATGAGTGAGTGGCAGCGACCTCACGGATGGTAGATGAGTGAGCGCAAGCCTGTACTAATATTACTCATTAATGCTTGATAAATATGTGTTATGGATTAGAGAGTATTGCTTTATGCCAGTGTTCCTCATAAATGAGCATTATTAACGATGTGTGTTGTAGTGAGGGTTTAATGACAGGTGTGAGGCTGTGTGAGACTGTGTGAGGCTGTGTGAGGCTGTGTGAGGCTGTGTGAGGCTGTGTGAGGCTGTGTGAGGCTGTGTGAGGCTGTGTGAGGCTGTGTGAGGCTGTGTGAGGCTGTGTGAGACTGTGTGAGGCTGTGTGAGGCTGTGTGAGGTGTGTGAGGCTGTGTGAGGTGCGTGAGGCTGTGTGAGGTGTGTGAGGCTGTGTGAGGCTGTGTGAGGCTGTGTGAGGCTGTGTGAGGCTGTGTGAGGCTGTGTGAGGCTGTGTGAGGCTGTGTGAGGCTGTGTGAGGCTGTGTGAGGCTGTGTGAGGCTGTGTGAGGCTGTGTGAGGCTGTGTGAGGCTGTGTGAGGTGTGTGAGGCTGTGTGAGGCTGTGTGAGGTGTGTGAGGTGTGTGAGGCTGTGTGAGGCTGTGTGAGGCTGTGTGAGGCTGTGTGAGGCTGTGTGAGGCTGTGTGAGGCTGTGTGAGGCTGTGTGAGGTGTGTGAGGCTGTGTGAGGCTGTGTGAGGCTGTGTGAGGCTGTGTGAGGCTGTGTGAGGCGTCTGTGAACCGAGCACAAGGATGCGACTCATTTTCAGACATCTCCCTCATAGAGGTACGAATAATATCAATGAGTAGAGGATACTCCTCATGGGAGCGATCACCTCACATACTCTATATGAAAGAAAGCTTGAATGGCTCCCCTAAACTATAAATCACTTAAAAAACCGCTTTGACACGCAAACCAGAGTTCGAGCCTGCAATGCCCGGGGCCCCACCCACCACTCCCTGGCGTACACAGTACCATAACCACCTCACCAGCGATTGTTTACAATGAACGCACAGTCAATCACGGAGCTCATTAACTAAACTCCGTGACTGACCATTCCCAGGCTAAACTCGTGGTACAGCATTTTTTTTCTAATAACTCCTGGTGCATGCTCGAAGCAGTCGCTGGAGAAGTGGTACTTCCCCAACCTCATTCACCCCCACCCCGAACCCCACACCCCACACCCTCAACGCACACACAAACACCTTCCCAGACGCCCCCAAAACTTTCTCTCTCACCGGCGTTCTGAGCAATTCAATCAGCCAGCCTTCCCTCAGGCGGGTCCCGGAGCTTGAGCTTCCTCCACAACTGTCGAGGCTCGTTGTTGTTGTTGTCGTTGTTTTAGATTTAGCTACTCAGATAGAAGTGTCCATGTAGCACGGGCTATGGTGAGCCCGTTGTAGAGGCGAGGCTGGACTCCTCTTAACAAGGCTCTCTCCCTCCCCTCACTTGCCTCCCTAGAGAGAGAGAGAGAGAGAGAGTGAGAGAGAGAGAGAGAGAGAGAGAGAGAGAGAGAGAGAGAGAGAGAGTGAGAGAGAGAGAGAGAGAGAGAGAGAGAGAGAGAGAGAGAGAGAGAGAGAGAGAGAGAGAGAGAGAGAGAGAGAGAGAGAGAGGAGGGGGGGGAGAAGGAGAGGCAGAGACAAAAAAAAGAGAATACAGTAAAGGTGATAAATACAGGAGGAAGGGAGAGCGGAGGAGGAAATGGAGCAGAAGAGAGGAAGGGGAAACAAGAGATGTTAGGAGAGGAACTGAAAGTGGAAGAAGCTGAGAGAAGGCAAAAAACAGATAAACATAACACAGGGAAGGAGGATTAAGCTAAGAAAATGGAGAGGAGGAACATGCGATAATGTACAAGACCAAGGAAGACAACTCACATTCTTGGAAGACGAGGAGGAGGAGGAGGAGGAGGGGAGGGGGTGGGGGAGGAGGGAAGGAAGAAAGGGAGGAGTAGGAAGAAGAAGATGAGAAGACAGATGAGAGGAAGGAAGGAAGGAAGGAAGGAAGAAAGGAAGGGGACGGAGGAGGAGGACGAAGAGTAAGTAGAAAAATGGGAAGGGAAAGCATGAGGGAGCATGAAGAAAGAGAGAGATAGAGGAGGAAGAGGGAGGGGCCGAAGGAAGAGGATGAAAGAGGGGGAGGGGAAGCAAGAGGAGGAGAGAGTAGAGGGAGGAAGAGAGTAGGGAGGGAGTAGGAGAGGGAGGAAAGAGGAGGCAAGGGAGAAAGTAATCCTCTTTACATGCCAAATAACCTGAACTTCCAACATCATACATAAATAAAGAGAATCTGTACTTAACAATGACAAAATTTAGTGGACCCGAACCTGAGTACACCCACAAGCACTTTCCAGAGTCCTCTACACTCCTCATACACAGGCAGCAGAGTCCTCTACACTCCTCATACACAGGCAGCAGAGTCCTCTACCCTCCTCACATAGAGGCAGCAGAGTCCTCTACACTCCTCACACAGTAGACAGCAGAGTCCTCTACACTCCTCACACAGCAGGCAGCAGAGTCCTCTACACTCCTCACACAGCAGACAGCAGAGTCCTCTTCACTCCTCACACACAGGCAGCAGAGTCCTCTACACTCCTCACACAGTAGACAGCAGAGTCCTCTACACTCCTCACACACAGGCAGCAGAGTCCTCTACACTCTTCACACACAGGCAGCAGAGTCCTCTACACTCCTCACACAGTAGACAGCAGAGTCCTCTACACTCCTCACACAGCAGGCAGCAGAGTCCTCTACACTCCTCACACACAGGCAGCAGAGTCCTCTACACTTCTCACACACAGGCAGCAGAGTCCTCTACACTTCTCACACACAGGCAGCAGAGTCCTCTACACTTCTCACACACAGGCAGCAGAGTCCTCTACACTCTTCACACACAGGCAGCAGAGTCCTCTACACTCCTTGTCCCACGTCCGGTGGTCAACACGTGGGAGGCACAGAAAGAAATTAAGTAATCCGCCACGCCCTTCTACAACTTTTAAAGTCAAATTCGACAAATAATTTGAACACAGAGCAAGGCAATTAGGCGAAGCATGAAGAGCTGAACCTCACTCCCCCCCCCTGTACTCACTGCTAGGTAAACCCCAATTAGGTAAGCACTCGTGTGACCAGCTCTACGAAGCTCTACAGCTCCCCACTCTAGTGTCAGCTCTCTGGAGCTCTACTCCCCACTCTGTAGATCTCTACAAATCTATACCCACTATCAGCTTTTATTTCCAGGGACAGAACAGCCTTTTATTTTAATAAAAAGAGTTAGGTTAAAAATCCAGACACAGTCAATCCTTTCCAAAGGCAGACATTGCCAGCACTCCACAAAGGCAGACATTGCCAGCACTCCACAAAGGCAGACATTGCCAGCACTCCACAAAAGGCAGACATTGCCAGCACTCCACAAAAGGCAGACATTGCCAGCACAACACAAAAGGCAGACATTGCCAGCACTCCACAAAAGGCAGACATTGCCAGCACAACACAAAAGGCAGACATTGCCAGCACAACACAAAAGACAGACATTGCCAGCACAACACAAAAGGCAGACATTGCCAGCACTCCACAAAAGGCAGACATTGCCAGCACAACACAAAAGGCAGACATTGCCAGCACAACACAAAAGGCAGACATTGCCAGCACAACACAAAAGGCAGACATTGCCAGCACTCCACAAAAGGCAGACATTGCCAGCACTCCACAAAAGGCAGACATTGCCAGCACTCCACAAAAGGCAGACATTGCCAGCACTTCACAAAAGGCAGACATTGCCAGCACAACACAAAAGGCAGACATTGCCAGCACTCCACAAAAGGCAGACATTGCCAGCACTTCACAAAAGGCAGACATTGCCAGCACTTCACAAAAGGCAGACACCCTGTTTTTTACATCCCCATAAAGCAGACATCCGCAAAATCGAAATTAAAAATAGATGGTTTGATCCTGCTAAATGAGAATGAAGAGCATTTCCTACATTGAGATAATAGTGAACGACGTCGTTCAAGTCGGGGGAAAAAAATGACGACTCTCACTTAGTCGAAAATCGCGATAAATGGCCAAAAAATGGTTTTACTTTCGTGAATGTCTGAGTTATTTTTTAATTCCCCATGATGGCTTTTTTGGCCACGTGTCTTGATGAAATTCTGACCTGAAGACTTCTACCTTCCTGAGGGAGAAGGCAGAAGCAATCTTATATGCTAAGATCAAGTGTTCCTTCGGGTCCATTAGGAGATTTGGCGCCTTTGTAAAACCAAGTATAGGGGACCTTTGACGAGCCGCCCACTTTCTGTCCCCGTCGAGGCTACGGTGGATGGTGTCTTCGTTGTTAGGGTGAGCAAGGAGCACCACGGGGGGCTACACCACCGGCGGCACCACTCCTCTACACCACCACCACCACCGGCGGCACCACTCCACTACACCACCACCACCACGGACAGCAACACTCCACCACGGAAGCGCTGCAGCTCAGCTTCGCATCTGTAATTTATATAAAAAAATAAAAAATATAAAACCCAAAACTGTGGAGAGTGGACTTGACCCGAGTGTGGGAGGTGAGAAATGTGTCAGCTTCCATGGACGACTCCAGCTGACCTTTCCAGCTTCTGGAATCCAGAAGCCACCAACCCACCCCCCTGGCGTTCCATATGAATGGAATCGTTCTCTTCAAGTTTATGCACTATGATTTGTGGTTTCCACAACAAGGCTCGAGGTTTTGAACGTAAAACCCAGGTTGGGACTCAGGTTCGAGGCCTCCAGGACCTCCCAGAGAAGAGGAGAGACGTTTGCAGAGAAGAGACGTTCTTCGCCCATCAGCCTGTACGATCTTCCAGGTTATCAAGGAGTTTGGACGGCGGGCTTCCCGCCAAAATTACCACCTGTGGTAATAGTTTTGGCGGGCTGGCCACCGGGTCGTGGTGAGCGGCGAACACCTTGTGTTTGGTCGTGTTTATTCAGCATTTTTAAATAAACAGGTTGATGTTATATTTTCATTTTAAGACTACTTATTTCTTGAATAGATATTCCCCCCCCCCCCCCCACACACAGGATATCTACCGGAAAGATGGAAGACAGCTAACGTGGTCCCAATATACAAGAAGGGTGACAGCCAAGAGGCACTGAACTACAGGCCAGTTTCCCTAACTTGTATACCATGCAAAGTGATAGAGAAGATCGTGAGGAAAAGGCTCGTAGAGCATCTGGAGGGAAATAGCTTTGTAACACACCATCAACATGGGTTCAGAGATGGTAAATCGTGCCTCACAGGGTTAATAGAACTCTATGACCAAGTAACAAAAATTAGGCAAGAAAGAGAAGGGTGGGCATACTGCATTTTCTTGGACTGTCAGAAAGCTTTTGACACAGTATCCCATAAAAGGCTGTTACGAAAGTTGGAGCAACAGGCAGGAGTAAAAGGTAATAACTCCAGTGGATAAGGGAGTATCTAAGCAACAGGAAACAACGAGTAATTGTGAGGGGAAAGACATCAGAGTGGCGAGATCTCACCAGTGGAGTCCCACAGGGCTCTGTACTTGGATCCATCCTGTTTCTAGTATATGTAAACGATCTTTCAGAGGGTATAGACTCATTCCTCTCAATGTTTGCTGTTGATGCAAAAATTATGAGAAGAATCAAGACGGATGATGATAGATAGAGACTACAGGACGACCTGGACAGGCTGGTGTAATGGTCTAGAAAATGACTACTAAAGTTCAACTCAGGAAAGGGCAAAGTAATGAAATTAGGCGAAGGAAGCAGAACGCTGAACACAAAGTACCATCTGGGAGGTGAAATTCTACAACATTCAAATAAAGAGAAAGATCTGGGGGTTGATATAACACCGAATCTGTCCCCAGAGGCCTACATCAAAAGGATATTCTCAGCGGCATATGCTAGGTTGGCCAACATAAGAACTGTCTTTAGAAACTTATGTAAGGAATCGTTCAAGACCCTGTATACCACTTACGTCAGACCAATCCTGGAATATGCAGCTCCAGCTTGGAGTCCATACGTAGTCAAACACAAAACAAAGTTCAAGAAGATTCAACGGTATGCCACCAGACTCGTCCCGGAACTGAGAGGTATGAGTTACGAGGAAAGGCTAAAGGAGCTGAACCTCACGTCCCTGGAAGATAGAAGAGTACGGGGAGACATGATAACCACCTACAAAATTCTCAGGGGAATTGACAGGGTGAACAAAGGCAAACTCTTTAGCACGTGTGGAACACGACAAGGGGACACAGGTGGAAACTGAGTACCCAAATGAACCAGAGAGACATTAGAAAGAACTTTTTCAGTGTCAGAGTAGTTAACAAATGGCAGTGATGTGGTGGAGGCTGACTCCATACACATTTTCAAATGTAGATATGATAGAGCCCAATAGGCTCAGGAATCTGTACATCAGTTGATTGACAGTTGAGAGGCGGGACCACCCTGCTCTCTCTACCCCTACCTCCTATCCCCGCATTCACCATCAATACACCCTAGTGAGTGGGAGAGAGAGAGAGAGAGAGAGAGAGAGAGAGAGAGAGAGAGAGAGAGAGAGAGAGAGAGAGAGAGAGAGAGAGAGAGAGAGAGAGAGAGAGAGAGAGAGAGAGAATGTTCTGTTTGTTTGTTTCTGCTTTTTGTTTTGTTACTGCTGTTTTGCTGCCGCTGTATCTGTTTTTGTTTCATTTGTTTCTGCCTCGGCCAGGAATCGAACCCGGGCCACTTAAGGGACTGCGACCTCCGAGGGCAGCTGAAGAGGAACGGAGCCAGCAGACCCCACTTCATGTGCACCTGAAGATATACAGAACACACACACACACGCAAGGCCCCGTGTGTGTGTGTGTGTGTGTGTACTCACCTATTTGTACTCACCTATTTGTGCTTGCGGGGGTTGAGCTTTGGCTCTTTGGTCCCGCCTCTCAACTGTCAATCAACTGGTGTGCAGATTCCTGAGCCTACTGGGCTCTATCATATCTACATTTAAAACTGTGTATGGAGTCAGCCTCCACCACATCACTGCCTAATGCATTCCATCCGTTAACTACTCTGACACTGAAAAAGTTCCTTCTAACGTCTCTGTGGCTCATGTGGGTACTCAGTTTCCACCTGTGTCCCCTTGTTCGCGTCCCACCAGTGTTGAATAGTTTATCCTTGTTTACCCGGTCGATTCCTCTGAGGATTTTGTAGGTTGTGATCATGTCTCCCCTTACTCTTCTGTCTTCCAGTGTCGTAAGGTGCATTTCCCGCAGCCTTTCCTCGTAACTCATGCCTCTTAGTTCTGGGACTAGTCTAGTGGCATACCTTTGGACTTTTTCCAGCTTCGTCTTGTGCTTGACAAGGTACGGGCTCCATGCTGGGGCCGCATACTCCAGGATTGGTCTTACATATGTGGTGTGTGTGTGTGTGTGTGTGTGTGTGTGTGTGTGTGTGTGTGTGTGTGTGTGTGTGTGTGTGTACTCACCTATTTGTGCTTGCGGGGGTTGAGCTTTGGCTCTTTGGTCCCGCCTCTTAAAGGTCCCTCTCTCTCATATCATGTGTGTGTGTGTGTGTGTGTGTGTGTATGTGTGTGTGTGTGTGTGTGTGTGTGTGTGTGTGTGTGTGTGTGTGTGTGTGTGTGTGTGTGTACTCATCTAGATGTACTCACCTAGATGTGCCTGCAGGGTTCAGCTAGGCTCCAAGCTCCACTTCCGAACGTTCTATGATTTAATGACTCATTTCTCACGCTTTCATCGTGTTTACATTAACAATTTGGGATCGAATTAGCTTCATCGACTTTACGTCTAATCCGTTCCACTTACTGACAGCTCTACCACTGAAAAATTCTTTCTTACGTTCCTGTGGCTCATTTGCGTCACTTGATTCCACGAGTCCCTCGTTCTGCTGTTCCTAGCTTTGAACAATGGTGATTTGTCTACCTTATTATTTTCTCTTAGAATCTTATATGTTGTTATCATGCCTCCACCTCCGTATCTCTCCTTTCCTCCAGTGTGGTAAGGTCCAGTTCTTTTAGTCATTCCTCATAGCTCAATCACCTCAGCTCCGAAACGAGTTTTCTTGCATATATTTGGACCTTTACTGGTTTCTCCTCGTCCTTTTCCAAGTAAGGGTTCCATGCTGGGGATTGTGTGTACTCACCTAGTTGTGCTTACGGGGGTTGAGTTTGAGCTCTTTGGTCCCGCCTCTCAACCGTCAATCAACTGATGTACTGATTCCTGAGCCTACTGGGCACTATCATATCTACATTTGAAACTGTGTATGGAGTCAACCTCCACCACATCACTGCCTAATGCATTCCATTTGTTAACTACTCTGACACTGAACAAATTCTTTCTAACGTCTCTGTGGCTCATTTGGGTACTCAGTTTCCACCTGTGTCCCCTTGTTCGTGTCCCACCCGTGCTAAAGAGTTTGTCTTTGTCCACCCTGTTTATTCCCCTGAGAATTTCGTAGGTGGTTATCATGTCTCCCCTCACCCTTCTGTCTTCCAGGGATGTGAGGTTCAGCTCCCTTAGCCTTTCCTCGTAGCTCATAACTCTCAATTTCGGGACTAGTCTGGTGGCATACCTCTGAATCATTTCTAACTTTGTCTTGTGTTTAACTAGGTATGGACTCCAGGCTGGAGCTACATACTCCAGGATTGGTCTGACAATCCTGTGTATGTGTGTGTATATCCTGACAATCCTGTGTGTATATATATATATATATATATATATATATATATATATATATATATATATATATATATATATATATATATATATATATATATGTGTGTGTGTGGTGTGTGTGGTGTGTGTGGTGTGTGTGATGTGTGTGGTGTGTGTGTGTGTGTGTGTGTGTGTGTGTGTGTGTGTGTGTGTATTCACCTAGTTGTGCTTGCGTGGGTTGAGCTCTGCTCTTTCGGCCCGTCTCTCA